CTTATACTTGTGGGATATTTTTAATTTTTCGTAGAAAATCCCCCTGTAGGGGGACAGGCCCGACTTAACGCAAGACCCTTGGAGGCCGAAGCTGGGACTCCTGGGGCGGCGGGCGACCAGTGACAGCGGCACGCGACGGGCCGCAGGGGCGAGGACACCAGGGTACCCCCGGCGGCAGGCGCGCGCCCTTCGACTGGGCGCGGTGGCTGCACCTCCCGCGAGCCCTAAAAAAACACGGTGCGCAGACCTGTGGGCGCTCGGGACCTCCCGGGGCCGTCCGCTGGACGACCCCGCCTTGTTGAGGGGGCCCCAGGACACACAAATAAATACACACAAATAAAAATGTTCCCCATATTTTCTTATATTTTCTGGGTTTTTTGTCTTCCCCCCAATTCCCATATTTCCCCACATTTTCCTGGGGGATCGACGATTCATTGTGTCTGTGTGTTTTTTCCCCCTCCAGACCAGCAAAAAAACGGCTCCCGGGACGACCAGCCAGCCTGCCGGGAGAGGGTCGGGGCTCCCACCGGCGGCGAGAGCGGGGGGGGGAAACGAGAAGGAAAGGGCCTTCCCAGACATCGGGCGTCTCGAAAAAATCGAGACTGAGGTTTTTCATAGTTTTTGGCCTCTCGGGGCCCTCGCCGGGCCTCGGGGCCGTCAAAAAACTACTCGGGATGAAAAACCGGTCCCAGGGAAGTGGTCGGGAGGTCGGGGGCCCGCGTCTCGAAAAAATCGAGACGTCGGATGTCTTGGTTCTCAGAAGGCCCTCGCGCCTCCTGAGGAGGATTTGTCTGCGTCTTCGGCGAAGGCTTCGAACGCCTCTCAGAAGACCGGGGGGACTGCCGAGCCTTCCGAGAAGGCCCTGCCCCTCCTCAAGTCGCCCGCGGGCTCGCCGCCGCCGCCAGGCACCCCGCGCCGAGCAAAGCGACACATCGGATCTCTGGGTCCTGCTCTGCCGTCCTCCTCCCTCGCCCTCCCAGGGTCGCGAACAAAGCACGACGGGTGTCTTCGCCCCACCACCCACACGGATCGGGATCGAGAGGCGGCATGGGGAGGTGGGGTCGAGGGCCCTGGCCGTGCCCTTTGTGAGACTCCGTGGTGCATCTGGCGACGTCGGACATCACGGCTGTCCTCGCCGATCGCTCGAGCTCTGGTCTGGCCATCGCTCGGACGTCCATTCCCCGTGCTTTTTTCGGTTTCGTGCGCTCCTCGATGGCCCTCGCCGAGAAAAAATGCACACGTCCGAGCGATGCCAGGTGGTGAGTGTTGCTCCCGCAGCAGATCGGGACTCCCAGCGAGGACCCCGGAGGTCCCAAGCGGCCCGCGGATATCCCAGGAGGCGGAAGCGCCTGAAAGACTCCCCCCTCGATCCTGGAGGCTCGAGGGCAAGATCTAGCACTCCGCCTTCCTCCTCCTCCTCCACCTCCTCCTCCTCCTCTCCTCCTCCGCCTCCTCCTCCTCCTCCTCGTCAGCCCCTTGCCCTCCTCCTTTGTGTTCTTTTCCTCCCTGCCTCTACGGCGACTGAAGAGGAGCACTGCTCTCCTCCCTCCGCCATAGGATCGTCGGTGAGGGGCCCTCCCCCCTCCGCGTACTGCTTTTGACACACAGGAGTTCAAGCATAGGTCTTTCCAGTGTGCTTGTGCTTCCCCGTCGGAACGCTTCAGTTGTCTCAAAACGGTGCTGCCGCCGCTGCAGCGTCGGCCTCATATCAGCATTGGCGCTCTGCTCCCGTCGTTCAGACTGGCGCTCTCGCCCCAGCTCGAGCCACTATCTTCTGGATCCAGGTCTTTCCTCATCGCTTTGGCCCCCTCATTTCCCATCCCTCGCATTCCCCTGGTCCTCCTGCTCCACCAGAGCCTTCTACTCCAAAACCTGTTGTTGCTGTTCGTCCTCGTCCACCTCCGTCCTCATAATCCTTTTCATCCTGCCCATCCTCCTCATCACCATCCGCCGCCTGTTCCTCCAATCTACGGAACTCTCCTTTTCCGATTGCGCCATGACCCGATGAGATCCTTCCGGAAATTCCAGGTCCGCCATGACTTGTGTCGGGGAATAGAGAAGACATCAGCGCAGTGGGAAGGGATGGGAGGGAGGGGCAAGAAGTCAGATATGGCGCGAGCGCACCTGAGTAGCTTTTGTCGTCCGTTCAATGTGATCTTACGTGGCCCTGGGGCGCTGTTCGAGTTGGGGCTGATCTGTGGACCGGATCTTGACCCCGTTTGGGACCATAGTTGGACCGGATTTGGGCCTCGCCCCCTCAAAGGGAGACGAGAAGAACGATGAGAGGGAGGAGGAGCAGGAGGGGCGAGGAGGAGCAGGCAGGAAGGGCCAAGCGCGGCCCGAAATGCAGCCCATAATGGCAGGAAGAAATGGCTCCAATGTCGCGGCCCCCCCAGGCGCAAGGCTCCCATGATAACAGACGGCGAGCTAGCTTGCCCCCCTCCTCCTCCCTCCTCCCTCCTCCCTCCTGCATCCTCCCTCCTCCCTCCTCCCTCCTCCTCCTCCTCCTCCTCCTCCTCCTCCTTCTCCTCCTCCTCCCCCCTCCTCCTCCTCCTCCCTCCTCCTCCTCCTCCCTCCTCCTCCTCTTCCTCCTCCTCCTCCTCCTCCTCCCTCCTCCTCCTCCTCCTCGTCCTCCTCCTCCTCCTCCTCCTCCTCCTCCTCCTCATCCCTCCCCTCCCTCCTCCCTCCCTCCCTCCCTCCCTCCCTCCCTCCCTCCCTCCCTCCCTCCCTCCCTCCATCATCGCGTCTGAGGCCGCCTCAGGATCAGTGGTCGTCCACAACGGCCTCCACTGTACGCTGGGACTCGACGATGGCCCGGGGGCTGTCGATGGCCACGGGATCAGTGGTTGCCGATGGCGGGGAGGCTCATGTGTGGACTACACGCTGGGGGACCACTTTCTCATCGAAGTGGATGCCCCGCTCTTTGTGGCGGTGGCGGCCCCAGCGCCTGGCATGCTGCGTATGCCGCGTTGGTGGCTGGATGAGGGTCGGTGGCGGGAAGGGGTGGCAGCGGCGGAACCGGTCCTCGCTGTCTTCGCTGCGCGGCTATGTGCAGCAGCAGAGGACCAGCAGGCCAGGTGTCACCTCACCAGGGGTGCTGCGCAATGGGTTTGCGATACCACTGCGGCACGGCACTGCGTGGGTCACAGGCCTCATTCTGGGCATCGTCCTGGGGGGCTGGGTGGTCCCACGCGATGCGGTCCTGAGGCAGCGGGTCCCGGGGGCCCTGCCTGGGGCGCAGGAGGTCTCTTTGCGCACGCAGGTCCGGCGGAGCCTTGAGGCGGGGGTAGATCGTTCCGCGCGCTTGGCAGCTTGTCTGCGGTCGCTGAAGCCGCGGCCAATTCGCCCTCTTCCGTGTCTGCGGAATGACCGGGGGCCCCTCTCGCCAGAATCTTCCCTCCAGGCGTGGGGAGAGCAGCTGAGGTTGCAGGCGGCGTGGCCGGGCCCCTGGGGCGCGGCCTTTCCCCAGCAGGTCCTGGCAGCAGCGCCAGGCGTAATGGGCCGCTCCTGGAACTGCAGGGGCCAGGGCGGGCACGATGGAGTTGTGTATCAGAATGAGGTCCAAGGTGCTTTAGCACAGTGGACAGGGACCGATGCCACCACCCCAGACCCCAGACGTCGTGATTTTTTCATGACGTCGACCCCCAGAGGTCTGGGCCCATTCCCCGGGACCGGTTTTTCGTCCCGAGTCGTTTTTTGAAGGCCCCGAGGGCCGGTAAGGGCCTCCAGAGGCCAAAAGCAGTGAAAAACCTCCCGTCGTGATTTGTTCATGACGCGAAGGGGTCTGGGACCCCAGGCCTGCTGCCGCGCCTCGTGCTGCGGCTCCCGTCGCAGGCCCTCCGGGACGTGGTGTGGCTGCTAGTGCGCGCCACAGGACCCGGGGTCCTATCGCCCTGCGCCCGCGGGGCTGGCGGGGATGGTGCCGATGAGTGTGAGAGCTTCAGGTTGGTTGCAGGGCAATGTTTAATACATGGGATGTATTAAAATATCGGATTGTTGATACATGATGAATTTATGAATACATGTATGCATGAACTCATCGTTGTTTTCAGTACTAAATCCTTGCATGTTTAATACACGATCCGCACGCGGAGCATATATTAAAAACGGCACTGTATGGTGCTGATGAGTGTGAGAGCTTCAGGTTGGTCGTGGTCAAGAACCAGCTTGGGCTCCTGCAGGAATCGTTGCAATTCGACCGCCTGACGACCGACGTCCGCGCGTCCGTAGCCCCAGGACAGCGCGGAGACGTCCGTGATGTGGCGGACGCACAGCTGCCCCTCCACGAGATCTGCGCCCTAGCCATCGGGCAGGACAGAGTGATTTGGGCGGTGTTTGGCGACCTTCAAGAGGCTGTCCCCAGGACGTGGCGGGGAGGCCTGCTGCACTCGCTATCGAGCCACGTCGGCCTCCGGGGCGGGGCCTACGCCCTGCTGGGGAGCATGCTGGAGCTGGACTTCGTGAGCGTCACAACTACCATGGCGTGCTCGTGGCGCTCCCCGAGGGCATCGCCGAGGGGGGCACGCTGGGGCTGCTGCGGCTTTTGTGCTACATGGACGAGCTGACACGGTTTCTCCTCGCCCAGGGGCACGGGGGAGGGATGGGGGTCTCCGTGCCGGAGCAGGATGGGGGAGGAGGCAGAGGAGGAGGAGGATCGGGGAGGAGGAAGAGGAGGAGGAGGAGGCGGAGGAGGAGGAGGAGGAGCAGGAGGAGGAGGAGGTGGAGGAGGCGGCTGGGCACCGGCTGTCCTCGCACCACGTGGGTCCAGGAGCTATAGTGGCCGCTCTGCATCTGCGGCGCCCGCTCCCGCCGACGAGTGCCCTCGATGCACATGCAGACCTGGAAGCCCCCGCCTGGCGGGCCCTCGATCGGGTCGCCCCCAGGCGTGCTGCGGCGGGGCTCCACGCCGACGACCCAGTGCTGCTGGCCTGCGGCCAAGGAGCAGCTCAGGCCCTGCTCGACGATCTGGCGGGGTGGGCGATCTGGTGCAAGGCCAGCCCCCATACCGAGGCCTCGAAGGAGGAGGAGGAGGAGGAGGAGGAGGAGGAGGAGGAGGAGGAGGAGGAGGAGAGGGGGGAGGAGGAGGAGGGGAGGAGGAGGAGGGAGGAGGAGGAGGCGGAGGAGGAGGAGGAGAGGAGGAGGAGGGGAGGAGGAGGAGGAGGAGGAGGAGGAGGAGGCGCGCGGCGGTTGTCTCCGTGGTCAGCGTCTGGGCGTCGCGTCCTCGCAGGTGGCGTCTCTCGCGGGCCTCGTCGCCGGGCGCGGCCTCCCCCTGGCCGCCGCAGAAGCCACTTCCGAGGCACAGATCGGAGGCGGCCTCCGCTTCGGACGGTGGCTCTGGGCGGCCGACGAGACCAGTGGCGCGGCGCACGACGCGTCCCAGGAGCGGTGGGCGCAGCTCCTGCCGGGCCTGCCGCCGTGGCGCGGCCGCCAAGTGGCTATGGGCGAGCTGGGCCGGGTGCGGTCCGGCGCGGGTGCCGCTGCAGTGGAGGTAGCTGCCCGGCGCGCGTCTCTGTGGGCCCTCCTTCTGGACACGGACCTCTACAGGGAGGTTTTCCTCCCGGCGCACGGGGACGTCGGCCGGACGTGGGCCCAGGCATCCTTGGATCTCATCACCAAGTGGGGCCTGCCGGACTGGCCCGTGTCGTTACTCTCCCGCGACGGGGGCACACTGGAGGCCTACAAGGCGGACATCCGTGCTCGAGTTGACGCCAGGTGCCTTGCAGCGTGGACGGCCGCTGCTGCACAGCACGTGCTCCCGCTGCCATACGCAGAGCTGCGACCAGTGATGTCCCATGACATCCGAGGAGCCTTGGGCTCCAGCCTGTGCTGGGAGTCGCTTGTGGCGCAGCGCTCCCTGGCGCGGCTGCGCGGCGGCTTTCTGTCGCTGGGCCACGTGCAGGGGCGGCAATCGTGGGCCCGGAGGCGGTCGTGCGTTCTCTGCGGTGCTGTGCAGTCCAGCCTCACCTTTCACCTCCCGTCGGCCTGTCCCGCCACGGTGTCCGCTCGAGCGGCGTTCCGGCGGGCACGCGGCGTCCAGCAGGCTGCTTCAGCACGGGAGCGTGCGGCCGTCCCTCTGGGCTGCGAGCTGGGCCGGGCAGGCTGCGCTGAGGCGCTGCTCTTGGCCGCGGAGGTGGAGCGCGGTGTAGACGTCTTCTGGGCGAGCTGCGGTTAGAGAGCCCTCCTCTTCTCCTCCCAAGCCCCCTCTCTACCATTACTCCCCCTCCCCTCCCTCCCTCCCTCCCTCCCGCTCTGTCGATTTCCAGGTCGCCTCCCAGTGACGCGAGATGGCGTCTCCCGCGTCGCGGTCTGGGTCGGTGGGTTGTCTTTCTCTCGGATCGTTTTGCGAGGGTCCGGAGCTTTCCGCCCGTGCTTCGTGGAGCGACGCGTGCCCACAGGTGTCCTCGATCTCGGCCGAGTCGGGTCGGGCTGGGCTGGGACGGGTTGGGCTAGGCTGGGATCCGTCTCTCCTTCTCCCTCCCTCCCCTCCCTCCCGACCTGTTGATCTCCAGGTCGCCTGCGGGAGGTGCGGTGATTGTCCCGTCGCGGGCTGGGCCCGGAGGGCAGTTGTGTTCTGGGGTTGTGCTGCGTGGGCGCGGAGCTTTCCGCGCGTGCTTCGAGGAGCGCCGCACGCCCTCAGGCGACCTCGATGTCGGCCGAGTCGGGTCGGGATGGGTTGGGTCGGCTGGGCAGGGCCGGGATCAGATCTCTCCCTCCCTTCCCTCTTTCCCTCCCTCCCTCCCTCCCTCCCTCCCTCCGGCTCCGTCGAGTCCCAGGCCGCTTCCGGGAGGCGCGGAGAGATGTTTCTGCCCCTGCGCCGCGGCATGGGCTGGAGGGTTGCCCTTCTCTCTGGAGGTCTTGAGCGGGTGTGGCTTTTTTCCTGCGTGCCGAGCTTCGGGGAGAGGCGTGCGCCCTCAGGCGACCTCGATCTCGGCAGAGTGGGACGGCTGGGCTGGGTCGGGTAGGGGCGTGGCTGGGCTGGGATCCCTCTCCCTGGCCACTGGCCGCCCTCGGGAGGGCCCCGATCTTGGCTCCTCGCACAGGCTGGCACCCGCGTCGCGCTCTGCCACGCGGCGCGCCGGGACCGGGTGGGGCCCCCTGGCGTCGAGCACTGCGGGCTCCCGCTTGGACCCTCCCACCCTCCCCGCGCTCCTGGCTGCGATCGCCCCCGTAGCCCTGGGAGGCCGCTGATGCGCGCCAGGACTTGGCGGCGCGCACAAGGGGGTGGGGGGAGGGGGGAGGGCTTCTTAGAAGCAGGCTGCTGCTTAGAAGGCGCCGGCCTTACATCTATAGATGAGGCCCGCGCCTTCTAAGAAGCAGCCTGCTTCTAAGAAGCCTCCCCCCCTCCCACTACCCCCCTCTGCGCGTGGCCGAAGGACCCCGAGGCGGGTTTGGCTCGAGTGTCCCCGGATGCCGTGTGGGGTGGGCATGGGGACGCTCTCTGGGCCTGCAGGGGCCGGCCGGGAGATCCGCGCTCCTCGGCGGCCGACCCGAGGGCTCGCGCGTGGAGGCGACCTCTCTCTATAGGATCGCTGCGCGGCGGCCCGTCGTGGGGGCCCTCTATGGAGCCATCCCTCCCCTCTCTCTGGGCCCTCCCGCGGGGGCCGGGGGGCCGGGACAGGACAGGGTCCCGATCGCGGGAGCGCCTCCTGCCCGGCCGCCTCGAGGATCGCTCTGCGCGGCTCTGTCCGTCGTGGGGGCCCTCTGTGGAGCCCTTCCTCTCCCCTCTCTGGGTTCTCCTGCGGGGGCCGGGGGGCCGGGACAGGATAATCGGGCCCCTCGCGGGAGCGCCCTCTGCCCAGCAAGTCTCTCGCTCTATAGTGGGGCCGTGCCCGCGGCCTCCCACGAGAGCCGAAAGGGTCCAGCCAACCAACCAACCTCCCTCCCTCCCTCCCTCCCTTCCTCCCTTCGAGTAGGAGATCGACTACAGAATTGATTTACCCCAGAATTGACTTCCTCGTCGAATATGTGGACACATACTTCGAGTTTCCGGCAGATTTTTGCGAAAGCTGCGCGCGTTCGTTGCAGACTCGAGGGGAGATCACTTTTGGGGTACATCAATTCTGTGGCCGATCCCCCAACTCGATCCCTCCCCCCTCCTCCTCGTCGGCGCCGTCGCCCCGTGCTCTGAGCGGCCGCCCCGGGCCGGGGGGCCAATCCACCGCCCTCCCTCCCTCCCCCCTCCCTCCCCTCCCTCCCTCCCTCCCTCCCCTCCCTCCCCTTCCTCCCCTCCCCTCCCTCCCTCCCTCCCTCCCTCCTCGTCGTCGGCGCCGTCGTGTCCCGTGCTCTGAGCGGCCGCCCCGGGCCGGGGGGCCAGTCCACCGCCAGCTGCACGGTCTGGTCCAGCGGCAGCCCGTGGGGGCTCTCGGGCTGCACTCCTCGGGGGAGGGGCCGCCGTCGTCGTCGTCGCGTGTCTGGCCATCGCTCGGGCACCCATACCCTGGGCTGGGTTAGGCTTCGGGCGTGGCTTTTTCGCCAGATGATCAAGGATGCTCCTCGATGGTCCTCGCCGAAGGAAAAAAGCACACGTCCGAGCGATGCCAAGGTGTGCGGAGGGGGGCGGGTCAAGGGGGCGGGTGGAGGAGGGGGGGGAAGGACGACGGGTCCCTCCCACCTCCTCCTCCTCCTCCTCCTCCTCCTCCTCCTCCTTCATGCCCATCCCTGGAGGAGGGAGGCGAGGGAGCAGGGGCAAGCTGTGTGCGCTCGCGTCGCATCGGACGTCCTGCCCCTCCTTCCCATCCCTTGCCTTTTACCACTGGGTAGGGCCCCTCTCTATTCGCATAGTCGGGTGTCGAAGAAGACATGGATCCCGAAAGGGTGAACAATGCGCAGCATAGCATGACATAGCATGGCGTACGGCGTAGGAGAGCACGGCAGAGCGTAACAAGGCGTAGCATTGTGTGGCGTTGCGTAGGAAGCAGGGCGGGGAGATGTCAGCCAATGCCGATCCAATAGTGCTGCCAGCGCTGAAGCGAGAGCGCCATTCCATATTGGACGGAGGCTCCATGGTCCATGGCCACTGAAAAACGGGGCCAGCCGTGCACAACGGGAGCTCCAACTTGAAATGCTGACATGCGGGGGCCAGGGCTGGGAGGCGCAAGCCACGTGCTGACGTCAGGGCACGACCCGCGCCGCGTTGCGACTGCAGGCCCTTCGGACGGAGGTCTCGGAGCGCTCTTTTGAAGCACGGGCAATTTGGAAGCGAACCCGAGCGCCCCCCCCGCGACTCGGGAAAACTCCTCCGCGCTACGCCCCGCTCAGCAGCGACGCGAGCGGGGGCCACTGGGACACTGGCCGCGGGCGCAGGGAGGACTGGTGCAGGCAGGGATCGCCTGCCCAGAAAACTCGTCCGGCCCCTGCTTCGCTCGCTGGATGGATCTCGCAGGCACGGGGAGGGAGACAAGGTGGATTGTGTGGGGGGGAGGGGGGGGCAAGAGAGGGAAGAGTGATATGATGGAGAAGCCTTGGAAGGATGTGGGCAGAGGGGAGCGAGGGACAGGAGGGGAGAGGACGACGAGGAGGAGGAGGAGGATGGGGACGCGGATGAACAGTAGAGGAACTGCCAGGATGTCGGGATACGGGTGATTGCGAGGATGACGATGAAGAGACGGTGGGACATAGGCAGCGCAATTGAGTTACACTTTGCACGAGCGAAGAGGATGATGACGATGATGACGATTCTGGTGCTGCTGGTGATGAGGACGGAGAGGGCGATGCGGAGAGGATTGGGAGGGAGTGAGGGGAGGGATGCGAAGAGCAGCAGGGAAACGGGCGGGAAGGAGGGGAGGGGATTGGGAGGGAACGAGGGGAGGAACGAGGGGGGGGACGAGGGGAGGGGATTGGGAGGCAACGAGGTAAGGAACGAGAGGAAACGAGGAGAGGGAACGAGGAGAGCGGGGGGAGGCCACCCCCCCGTGGTGGGCCCGTCTCCTCCATCGCCCACGAGGGCGGTCAGCAGCTGCAGGCGGGACACGAGGACTCGCGGCGGTACCGTCTTCCTCTGCGGCGGCCTCCCGGCGAGTGGCGGCAGGGGGAGGGGAGGGGGAGAGAAGGGAGGAGAAGAGAGGGAATCAGGCTCGAAGACGGACGATTGAGGTTTTGGGCGTTCTGATTGTTGCGGTCGTCCCGCGGGAGGCTTCTCGTCGCCCGGGCTGGAGTCCCCTTCAAGACTCGAACCAAAATGCACCCCGAGAGAGATCTTGGGGTCGATGTTTCAGAGCCTCCATGAAGAGAGGGAGGAGTGGCAAATTACAAAAGAGGGGGGGGCAGACAACAGAGGGCAGAAAAAGAGGCCGGGACAGAGGATAGGGAGGACAGGAGACGGGATGTGGGGAGAAGGGAGGCGGAGAGAGGGAACGCGAGGGGATGGACGACCTGGACCAACCTGTTCTCCGTCCCTGTCCGCCTCGCCCGCCTCCTTTTAGAGGGGGCCCTGGGACACACAAATACACAGGCACACATCCCAGGATCCCCCATCTTTTGTCCACGCGTTCTGGGTGTTCGTCGTCCCCCCCACTTCCCGTATTTTCCCATCTCTTCCAGGTAAAGGTCCTCCTCCTCCTCCTTTTCCTCCTCCTCCTCCTCCTCCTCCTCCTCCTCCTACTCCTCCTCCTCCTCCTTGGGGGTCGACGATCGGTGGTGTCTATGTGCGTTTTTCCCGCTCCTGGTCCTCGTGCTCCCCCTTCCTCTCCGGGGGCCCCCGCAGGGGCCGGTTGCCGGGCCACGGGCGCATAGCTCTGGAGCTGTGGCCAGCAATACTAATAGTACGAGTAATAATACTAATAATCCGAATGCTCATACTAATAATACTAGTCGTATTAGTACTAATTCTAATAATAAGGGTACTCATACTAATACTACTGTCTTTCCTAAGAAATGACTCAGGTTCAGGTTTGGGTTCGGGCAGAGGGGGAAGTCAGAAGTTCGAGTGCGGAACCCTCAAGAGAGCTCAGAGCTCGAAGTGACTTCAAGACTGCCCCCTGGCACAACGACGACGTTTTCCATACTGCACCCACTTTTCCTGGAGCTATTGAGCTCTTCTTGTTGGTGAGATTCTGAACTTTGTTCGAGCATGTTCTGATTTATTGAACTTGCTTGAATTCGTTTGAACCGTTTCTAAACCTTCTTCAAACTTTTGAACCTGCTCCAACTTGTCCGTCGTCGCTGAGCACTATCTGAACTGCTTCCGAACTTGATTCTGGCCGCCGGACTTCTTCCGAACTTGCCTCTCGCCGCCGACCTGTTTCCCAGCTTGTTTTCCGAACTTCAGGATTCCAGCAACGTTGAACTTGAACTTTGAAACAAAACATTGGCCTCACACTTTCCCCGAACTTAGGATGTGTTAACATAAGGACCGTTCGCGCACCCTGAAGAGACAGGTCGGTATCGGGTGCCAGGGAAGGGTCTCTCCTCCTCCTCCTCCTCCTCCTCCTCCTCCTCCTCAACCCCCCCGTCCTTCTCTTTCTCCTTCTCCTCCTCCTGCTTCTTCTCCTCCTCCTCCTCCTTGTCCTCCCCTTCCTCCCTCTCCTCCTCCTTCCCCTCCCCTCCTTCTCTCTCCTCCTCCGCCCCCTTCTCCCTCTGGGGTGCAAGTTTTGAGCGAGCGCTCCTGGGGGGCGGGGGGGCGTCGCGGAGACACCTCGACGGGCGTCTTCGTGGGGCAACTTTTCTCGGCCTCTGGGGGCCACGCCAGCGGCTGCAAGCGTGCAAAGGCTCAAGTCGGGCCTGTCCCTGCCGGAGGATGTTGGACGAAAAATGAAACATACTTTCAACATATGGAAGAAATATAAAAATACTAAACATCGTCCCCTAACTATTTGTTTGTTATGTTTGAATGTCCCCCCTGTAGAGGGACAGGCCCGGCTTAAGCCAAGGCTCAAGCGTGCCAAGGCTCACGCGTGGCTTGAGCCACACACGTACTCCGTCTACTGCTGTGGCGCCCTGCGCACATGCTCCGTCTACTGTTGGGGCGCCAGTGCGCACATGTTTCGCTCTGTCTGTCCAGCATGGCCAATGCGCGTCTGATGGGAGCTCCAATGGCGAAGCTCGCGAAAGGAACTGGCCCGTGGATCTGTGCGGGCTCATCCAGTTCAGAGCCCGCGGGGGGGCAGAGGCCTGTTTTGAGCACACCCGGCCGACGTCCTGATCGGAATGCTCGTCTCACCAGTTCGTTGCACGAGATGGAACATGACGTGGAGGGAGCGGGGATGGGCGTTGCGCTCGCGGGGCGGGTAGGAGTCGAGGGCGAGATGGGGAGGCACGAGTACATCACGATGGAGTCGATGACGCAGCTGTTTAAACAGCACCTTCGCCCAATTCAGGAGGACGTCGAGGCTAGCAAGGCGCGAGACATCTCCAGGCAGGACCTCGAGAACGCGGTGAACCCGGTGAGGCAGGCGGTCCAGGACCTGTCTGCCAGGGTCGTCGCTTTGGAGCAAAAGGATGGTTCATTAACCCCTTCGCAGAGAAGTGCTTTATATGAGACAGAAATAAACAAGACAATGGCCGAGCTTGAAGAGAAGATCGCGACTCTTGGGTCACAATCGTGCGGAACAGCCAAAATCGCAGTCATTGGGAGGCTGAACTGGGCAGTCCCGAAGGATGACGCAGAATACTGGTTGGCACGGCAGCTCAAGCAAATCGAGGCGCCAGCGTCGATCGAGACCTTCGTCAAGGGTGGCTTCACAGCCATATGGTTCGCAAGGCTTGCACCCCAAGCTGAGCGTGATACTGTTTTGTCCAGAGTGCGAGGTGCAAATATTTGAGAGAGCGTGATCCACCGCCGCTTTACTGTGGAAAATTGCCAACCTTTTCCTCTGGAACCCGGGGGTCGCCCCCCCCCCCCCCTCCGAAAATCCCCCCCCCCCCTGCTGGAACCCCTCCCCCCCCCCCCCCCCCCTTCCCCGCAAACCCCCCCCTCCCCTAACCCCCCCCCCCCCCCCCCCTCCCGCTCGAAAACCGGGGGGGTCACTACCGGTTCGAACCCCTCCCCCCCCCCCCCCCCCAGATCCGAAAACCGGGGGGGTCACTACCGGTTCGAACCCCCCCCCCTCCCCCCCCCCCCCCTACTCACCGCCAGCAAACGACTCCCGGTCCCCACCACCGTCCGCATCACATCCCCCACTGGTGTTCCCAGCACCACTGTCCTCACCACCGCTGTCCCCACTGGTTCCACCACCGCCCCTACTGTCCCCACCAGTGGCCCCACCACTGTCGCACTGTCCCCGCTGTCCCCAGAACTGTTCCCACCACGGTTCCACTCTCCCCACTGTCTCCACGGCCCCAACCACTGCCCGACTATCCCCACTGTCCCCACTGTCCCACTGACTCCTCCGCTGTCCCACTGAGCTGTCCCACTGTTCCCACCACTGTCCCCACTGTCCCCACCACTGTCCCCACTGTACCTCTGTCCCATTGTCCCACCGCCGTCCTCGCCACCGCCTTCACCACTGTCCCCACCACCATTGTACCCTCCACTGTCCCACTGTTTCCACCTCATTCCCATTCCCCCCCCACCACCACGTCACCACCACCACCGTCACCTGTCCACTGTCCCCCTGTTCCCACCATTGTCCCCACCACTGTCCCCACCACTACCGTCCCCACCACTGTCCCACTGTCCCACTGTCCCCACCACTGTCCCGCTATCCCCTCACCACTGTCCCCACCAACACCGTCCCCACCACTGTCCGCACCCCCACTCGGTTTTCGAGGGGGGGGGGGGGGTTCGAACCGGTAGTGACCCCCCCCGGTTTTCCGGATCCGGAGGGGGGGGGGGGGGGGGGGGAGAGGGTTCGAACCGGTAGTGACCCCGCCCCCCTTTTCATGATGAGCAGGGGGGGGGGGGGGGGGGGGAGGGTTCGAACCGGTAGTGACCCCCCCGGTTTTTCCGGAGGGGGGGGGGAGGGGTTCGAACCGGTAGTGACCCCCCCCGGTTTTCCGCCAGCAGCGGTAGAACACGCTCTTTCAAATATTTAGAGTCGATGTGGGCCAAGCCGGCCTTGCCGCTGAAGGCACGCATCCGTAACTCGATGATCATTGCTGCGAAGCGTTACCTTTAAGTCGGACCTGTCCTCCTACAGGGGAATGTTGGACGAACAAAAAAGAATACCCCAAACATGCCCGAGCATGGTCAAACATAGTGAAACAAAAATCGACCCCACAAAATGTGTTTGTCTATTTTTAAATTTTCTTCCTGTGGAAAGACAGGCCCGACTTAACGCTACCTTGCCCAATGGTGCAACAAATTTGCCCTTGGGGCGGATCCCGAGCCGAAAAACCTTGAGGCCGGCTGGCGGCCTCGTGATATGAAGGCGAACACCGAGCACGACGACGTCCGCATCTGCTTCGAGCGGGGCTGGGAGGAGCACTTGGCGGCGCGCACAAGAGCGAAGGGATGCCGACGAAGCCGACGCGCGGCTCCATGGCAAAACGTCCGGCAAGAGGCCGCGGCAGCGGCACCTGTTGGCGGCGCGCCCGAGGGGGTGGGGGGAGGGGGGAGGGCTCCTTCGAAGGAGGCTGCTTCTTAGAAGGCGCCGGCCTTACATCTATAGAGGAATCCCGCGCCTTCTGAGAAGCAAGGGTGCTTCTGAGAAGTCCTCCCCCCTCCCCCCACGCCTCTCTGCGCGTGGCTGAAGTACTTCCAAGAGGCAGAGTAGACGGACTTGGTGAAACGGGCTCACGGAAAAGTTCCATAGGAGCATCGGCAAGGGAGCGGGCAAGGGAAAGACTGGGCATAGGGGCCACCCCGCACGGCTGCACTTTTTATCGCTGGTCTTGCACACAACTCATCTGCAGTGCTCAAGGTGTCTGCAAGCATGCCCAAACCGATACTCCGACAAGGCTTTTGACCCTGCTTGCCCGATTGAACGGGATATTCTGGGACGTCGCCGGCTTCGGTGAGGCACGGGCTGCTGCTGGCGATGACACTTTGGCAGCACGGCGCCGCTGAATATCGAGCGCAGGCGCTCACAAGTGTAAACACCTGGGTACATCTACAACCCAACCGTCCAACGTGCCTCGGCCTCGGCGGAATGCGCGAAAGCTCAGCGACGGCGTTCATTGTTCCTGGAGGCCGGCGCTCGAACCCCGAGCAAAATGCCTGGGCGGTCGCACACCGCACAGCTGGCCGTCTCTGCCGGAGACGGCTCCACTATACACCAGCACTCTATTCTTCTCCATTCGCGCCTCGCTGACAAAGTCACTCCTCTGCGCACGACTCGCACATTTCCTCCACTCGCGCACCCTATACGAATCGCACCGCACGCGGCGATCGGGGGGCGTCCGTGGGCGCGCACCAGAAGGTCACTCAGGCGAGGGGTCATTGTTGCGTGTAGTCTGATGGGCCTGCTTTTCACCACCACCACCATCAGTTGGAGGGGGTCCTCCTCCTCCTCCTCCACCTCCTCCTCCTCCTCCTCCTCCTCCTCCTCCTCCTCCTCCCCTTCGTCCTCCTCCTCCTTCACCTGCTTCCCCCCGACTAGTTGATGGTGGTGGTGGTGGAAAACAGGCCCATCATACTCGACCCTAGTGGACCCCGCAGAATCTCCAAGGGGACTCCCAGGGAACATCTGAGCACCGCACGGACCTGCCTGTGCAGGGCGTCGAAGCGTCGGGCACGTGGGGTCTGCGTGGGGCTACCGCGGCGCCGTGCGGGCAGGGGGGTGGCATCGCCACGGCACGTGGCGCCACGCATGTGGCTTCGGAACTGCCGGGCCAGGACGTCGAAGGCGTGGTCATGGACGTCCCAAGCCTCCCCGACTCGCGATCCCTCCTCCCTCCTCGACCTCCGGCTTCCACGAAGAGGCGGCGACCCCCCCCATCAGAGCTCGGAGTGCCGCCGCGCGCGCGCGCCTGAGCAGGTGCTGGGCGCAGGCGGGGATGCCGAGGGCCGCGCTCTGCGCCAGGAGCATCAGCGCGTCCTCCGCCCAGGAGCGTCACGCGGCCACCGCGAGATCGCCGGCAACGCCGTCACCGCCGTCGTCGTCCACGACTTTTTTCGTCGCCAGCGTCACCTGCCTCAGCGTCGTCGTGGACGTCCTGTTCTTGGCCCTGCTGCTGCTGCGCCTCCTCCCCCTCTCCCCTTCGTCACGGTCGTCATCGTTCTCCTCCTCCTCCTCCTCCTCCTCCTCCTCCTCCTCCTCCTCTTGCCGCCTCCTCCTCCTCCTCCTCCTTCTCCTCCTCCTCCTCCTCTTCCTCTTCCTCCTCCTCTTGCCGCCTCCTTTCATCCTCCTCCCCCTGTCCTCCTCCTCCTCCTCATCCTCCTCCTCATGCTGCTCGTCGTCCTCCTCCTCAATTGTCTCCCCTTCCTCCACGTCCTCCGTTCCCCTCCTCATCATCTGTCTCCGATGTTCCGCCGCATCACCTCATGACTACCCTCCTCCTCTGCACGCAATTTATCCCTTTCCCCGACCCCTCATCTTCAGAACGCTCCCCCCTCGTATCACACCACGGGACGTGTCCGTAGGACGAGCCAAGTCTGAGATCTCGGTCCAAGAGATACTGTTAAGCCAGAGAACCCCAACGATTACACTGACGAAGGGCTGGTCGCTTCCAGAGTGCGGTTCTCGCCTAAACGCCACGCACGTTCCTTTCAATAGCCATGAAGTTGAAGGGCGAAAGGTTTCAAGAGTGCGGCTCTGACCTGAGCTCCTGTCTGGGAACATGCTCGACTTAAGACATTGGATTTGCAGGCACACCTAGGCGCTCAGCAGTCAAGGGAGGCGCCTCCCGCACTGGAATGGGCATAATTACTCGTGGGCACTTTGCAGGGAGGAGACTTGTGACAAGACGGTGTGGTTTGCTCTGGCCCCCCCCCCTCCTCCTCCTCCTCCTCCTCCTCCTCCCCTCCTCCTCCTCCTCCTCCTCCCTCTCCTCCTCCTCCTCCTCCTCCTCCTCCTCCTCCTTCTCCTCCTCCTCCTCCTCATCCTCCTCCTCCCCCTCCTCCTCCCCATGCTCCTGCTCCTGCTGATCGTCCTTCTCCTCCTCTTCCTCTCCGCTCGTCGCCCTCGACTGCCCTCCCGCTCCCTTCCCTCATCCTCCTCCTCGTCGACAGTCAGTCTGTCCTCGTCGAGCCTCCCTCTCCCCACCCCTGCTCCCCCTCCTCGCCCTCGAACGGCCCCTCAACACCCTCGTCTTGCTACTCCTCCTCTTCCTCCTCCCATTCCTCATCATCATAGTCGTCGTCGTCGTCCTGCTCCTCCTCCTCGTCCTCCTCCTCCTCCTCCTCCTCCTCCTCCTCCTCTTTCTCCTCCTTTGCATCGTCATCATCAGCACCACCATCATCAACATCACCAACAACAACACCATCAGCATCAGCATCAGCATCAGCATCAGCATCAGCATCAGCATCAGCATCAGCATCAGCATCAGCATCATCATCATCATCATCATCATCATCATCATCATCATCATCATCATCATCATCATCACCACCACCGTCATCATCACCATCACCATCAGCATAATAATCATCATCATCAGCAGCAACATCAGCATCATCATCACCATCACCACCGTCGTCATCATCATCACCACCGTCATCATCATCATCATCATCATCATCATCATCATCATCATCATCACCATCACCATCACCATCACCATCACCATCATCATACTCATCCTCATCCTCATCCTCATCCTCATCCTCATTACCATCACCATCACCATCATCATCACCATCACCATCATCATCAGCATCAGCACCAGCATCATCAGCATCAACAACCTCAACATCTCCGACGTTGCAGGCCCGCGGGGGGCGGGCCGCGGGGATGGGAGGAAGCCTCCTCGGATTCTCGCACCGCCCGGGGCGCACCCCTTGGAGCTGTGCCCTCCACCCGCCCCTCTGACGCCGCCCGCCGTCCTTGGTGGTCTTCTCCACCCGCGCGTTGGCGTCGCCCAGGCGGTCCACCTGCCCGGCCGGAATCCGGCAAGCGGCAAGGGGGGGCGACGGAGGAGGAGGAGGAGGAGGAGGAGGAGGATGAGGAAGAGCAGGAGGAGCAGGAGGAGCAGGAGGAGACGGAGGAGGAGGAGGAGGAGGAGGAGGAGGAGGAGGAGGAGGAGGAGGAGGAGGAGGAGGAGGAGGAGAGGAGGAGGAGGAGGGGGAGGAGGAGGAGGAGGAGGAGGAGAGGAGGAGGAGGAGGAGGAGGAGGAGGAGAGGACGAGGAGGAGGAGGAGGAGGAGGACGGACTCCCCGGAGGCTTCTCCAGAGCCTCGATCCCCGCACCTCGATCCTCCACTGGGGCCCGACGGCGCGACAAGATGGAAGCACCAACAACAAAAATCACGACGGGAGCCCCAGACCCCCCTCTATTTTCGAGCTGGATCGAGCTGCGAGGGCCCCGGGGCCCTGAAGCCTGACAAAAAAAAAAACGCCCGGCTCGAACGAGAAGTGCGACGCCAGGCTCTCGGGGTCCATCGCGCTCGTCGGCCTCTTCCGCCCCGCCGCGCCTCTTCCACGGGCCGCTGCCGCGGTGGCGCGGGGCGCGACCGCTGCAGGCGGCGGCGGCGGCGGCGGACGACCCGCGCGTCGCCGCGGGCGGCGACCGCGGCGGACGGCGGCGGCGTCGCTGCGACGAGCGGCGGCGGCGGCGGCGGGGACACGCCGGCGGCGGCGACGCCGGCGGCGGCGTGCAGTCGGGCAGCGCGCTGGGCGGGGCCGGCCAGAGCCCGCGGCCCGACGTCCCTGGCGCTGGCCGTCGGCCTCGTCGTCGTCGTCGTCGTCGTCGTCGTCGTCGTCGTCGTCGTCGTCGCCGGTGGACCACGTTCGACCCTAGGCTTAAGATAAGATGTTCCAGCCTACACTGGACTGCACCACTAGAATGAATTCCGAGAATCCAAAAAATACCGAAACTGGAGGGTTTTCACGTGTCGGGCTTTTGGAGGCGATCCTCGTCCGACACTATTTTGCTACCTTTCTCGGGTGCTCGATTTCATTTCTGGGATTTGGCCCGTAAGTACGACGGGAGCAACATAACCCTGGGCTTCGCTTCCCACCACCACCACAACCATAAGTTTGATGGGGGGAAGGAGGAGGGCGAAGAGGAGGACGAAGAGGAGGAGGAGGAGGAGGAGGAGGAGGAGGAGGAGGAGGAGGAGGACCCCCTCCCCCTCCAACTTATGGTGGTGGTGGTGGTGGAAAGCAGGCCCTTCAGCTCTTGCGCCCGGGCGTCGTGAACAACGGGGAGAGCACCGGCGCTTCGAGGACCGAGAGGCGGGCCCCACTTCCCAGATGTTCCCCTATTCTCCTGGGGGTCGACGATTTCTCCAGATTTCGTAATAAATGGGAGGGGGTCTGGACCCTCCAAGACAAGCCATTTCAGACCCCCCTCGTGGGAGAACCCTCCAAAACATCGTCCCCAGACCCCCCAGGCCCTCCAAGATAGCCTGGAAGAGACCCCCCCCCGAAATGAGACCCCCCTCCCTTTATTACGAAATCTGGAGTAATTGTGTCTGTGCGTGTCTTCCCCTCCTGATTTTTGCCTCACGGCGCCCTAACTCCGTTCCTGGCGTCGGATGCCAGGGGAAGACAACGTTCGACCCTCGTCTTCGGTTCCAAGCCGTGCCAACCGCCAACGCTCCTTGAGACCGCCTTTTTTTTGGATCGGCGATAACCCGGGTTATCTGGCAGGGGGGGGGAGGGGGCTGGCCGATAACCTTACCTTCGCGCTGTGGGCAACCCTGCATATGCCCGCGCCCCCCCACCCCAGACCTGCACAACCAGCAAGGAAAGGCTATCCTGGGGGGAGGGGGGGGGCAAGCATGATATCCCGGGCTATCGCCAGACCCCCCCAAAAAGCAGTCTCCTTCCGCAGATCAGTTTACCAGCTGGTTTGACAACAATTGGGGGCGAAGGTGCACACATTGTCGGGAGCAATGTTTGACTCATCCGGTGATTGGGACGACTGCGCAAGCAAACAGGACAGCTCGCAGGGAACAAGAGCAGGAAACAGGAAAGAAGAGCGAGAACTAGGAGAATGAGGACGACGATGACGAGGAAGAAAGGCGGAAGCAGGGGGGAAGACGAACCAAGGCATGAGAAAGAACGGTAGGAGGAGGAGGAGCAGGGGGAAGATGGAGAAGGGAAAGTGCATTAGTATGGCGATCTGTGGAATCAGAGTAGAGGAAGAGCAGAGCAAGAGAAAGAGAAAGGAGGGGAGAAGGACGGGCAAGCTTAGGATACGTGTGCGATGCTAGAGCCCACACACCTGACCACACACACACACTCACTCACTCACACACGCACACACGTGTAAGCATTGCACGTTCCTGTGTTCCGTAGCAAAGCACCTAACGGTAGCCCCGTGATTCAAACAGCCTCCCTCCGTGCCTGCTGCTGCACTTCCGCTTCTGTGCTTCGCTTTGTGTTTCTCTCGTCAGTGGCGGCGGCTGTGGCCGCAGCGGCTGCGGCGGCGGCGGCCGCAGCATCAGCGTCGGCAATCGGCGGCAGCCGCGTCGGCGCTCGGCTGCAGCAGCGGCGCTCCGGGGGCGCGGTGCCCGCCAGCAGCGGCACCAGCGGCTCCAGCGCGGGCTGGGCCCCCCGGCGCCCCCCGGTCCGGCGGAGCGTGCCCTGCAGCAACGCCGCGCTGGACAGGAACACCTTGCACCGGCCAGGCGCCGCCGATCTCCGCCGAGGGCCGCCGCCGCCTTCGCCGACGATCCTTCCGGGCCACCGCCGTCGCCGCCGCCGCGGTGGTCGTCGTGGTCCCCTCCTCCTCCTCCTCCTCGTCGTCGTCGTCCTCCTCCTCCTCCTCCTCGTCCTCCTCCTCCTCCTCCTCCTCCTCCTCCTCCTCCTCCTCTACCGTTCCAGCCCTCGCTCCCACGTCCCGCAGTCTGTGGCATACCCGTGCTGCCCACCTTTCCCTTTGGCGCTCGTCGCACTTGCTGACGTGGTATACCTAACCCCCGCACTTTCGGATGCGTGACAGGGCCTAGGCTGCCTTACCAGGACTGCGGTGCTCGAGCGCCAATGTAAAGAATCCCGCCGCAGGCACTGACTTTGCCCCAAACAAATTGCACCCGTTCCGTGGTTGGTTGTTTGTTAATCAGTACGGGTGGGTCGCGGGGCGGGGTGTTGGCATGGCGCGAGGCTCGAAAGCCAATGTGAAAAAAGACCGCCGCAGGCGCCGATATTATCGGCTCAACGCAACCAGCCCGCCGCAAGCGGCGTAGCTCGCGGGCGTGGGTCGCGGGCGTGGGTCGCGGGTGGTGGGTCGCGGGTGTGGGTCGTGGGTGGGTCGCGGATGGGTCGCGGAGTGGATTGCAGGATGGGCTGTGGAGGCGAGTCGTGGGGCGTGCCGCGGGGGCGACAACAAAACCACACCATGAACGGGCACCGTGGAACCCCACTTCTGCCACGCACCCAGGGGCAGCGTAAGATCGTTCGGCCCCCTCACCCTGACCCATATTGGCATGTGTTGGGGGGGTTCAGGTAACTGAGGTGAGGTAAGCGAGGTTTGATCTGTCCTCCTGAGCCTTTGTCTTCGGGCTTCGCAGGAATGGTCAGGAAAGGTGGGGTGTGCACTGATCTCACTCTCCTTCACCTCCTCCTCTTTCTCCTCCTCCTATCCATCCCTTTTCCCTTATCCACCGACCCCTTGTGGCTCTATAAGCGTGTGATGCTGCTCCCTCCCAGAATCCCCCCCTCGCAGGGACCCCAAACCGGCAATTTGACCCACCCTCCGGCCGGCCCCAAACGCGTCATGGGGGGATACTGGGCCCCAAATTGGGTCGAAAGGGCCCTGGGGCCTTCTCCCAGACGGTCTAAGAGGGCCCCGAAACGCAGAAAAATCGATCCAAGACGCTCCACATGGCTTCCAGACGGTTCAGGAACCTCCCAAGACGCCCCAAGAAACTTCCACAAGCTTCCCAAAAGAGCCCCCACAGGAAAAAAACACTCCATTCCCTTAAAGGGACATATATATAGCATATTCGCATCTGCGCTTTTCAGAGTGCCCAAGATGGCTCACGAGGCCCCAACGATGCCCCAACACCGCCCACAAGGCCCCCCAAAAAGGGTTCCAAGGCGGCCGGGAAACTTCCCCTCACGGCTCCCAGCGGCCCCCAAGAGGGTGCCCTGAGGGGAAAACGAAATAAACATTCGGAGCCTGCGGCCCCCAGACGCCCTCAGGAGGCCCCACAGAGACCCAAAGAAGTGTTAAACAAAAACCCAAGAAACCCCCAAGAGGCCCAAAGAAACTCCCAGGAGGCCCCAAACAACCTGACAGTTGTTTCCAAGAAGCCACCGGGAGGCCTCCCAGGATGCCCGATCAGCCATCCGAGTGGCCTGTCACTCAAGACCCAGGCACGGTAGCGGATGGAACGACGGCGCTGATATATTCGACGGTTCGGGAGCCCGACTACGGTCTCAACGGCCCCCCCAAGAAAAGGCGACGGATGGCCAATAAGGCTTGCAAACTGCCCCGAAGGCCCTGACGACGGCTCAAGAGGCTTCCCAGAGGTTTCCCGACGACTCCAGAGCAGCTCCAAGAATCGCCCACTGGGAACCCCCAAAACCAATTCGATCCCATCAAGCCGCCGGCCTATGCGTCCTCCTTTTGTTTCCTTTCGCACGCCCTCTTCCCCTCCTCCTCCTCCTCCTCCGCCTCCTCGTCCTCTTCCTCGTCGTCCTCCCCATCCTCCTCTTCCTCCTCTTCCTCCTCTTCCTCCTCTTCCTCCTCTTCCTCCCCCTCCTCCTCCCCCTCCTCCGCCTCCTCCTCCTCCTCCTCTCCCCTCTTCGCATCCCCCTCCTCGCAGTCTCTGCCCCCCTCTCGCCCACCCCCCCGGCCCTCCATCCGCGGGCGTGGACAATCATGCCGGCATTGCTGGCACGACTTGCATCTGAGGGCGGCGCGCCCGACGTGGCAGGCCGCCACGGAACACGCCGACCTCGGCAACTGCCCTTGGCGCTGCCCGCTGCGCTGGTAGTTGTGCCAACTGCGCGCCGTGAAACCCAGGCGCATGCAACTCTCGCGTGTCATGCGCTTCTGGCCCGTGCCACGGTGATTCTTCACTTGCGCCCTCTTGAAGTGCTTCGCGTCCGAGAAAGCGCTCCCACAAGCCGCGCGTGTCAGCGTCTCGGTTGCCGCGTCTGCACGTCGCCTGCCATTAGTCCCCCCCGCGTCAACCTGTCGCGCTCTTCCGCGCATTTCCGACACAGCCTCTCCCCCGCGGCTCGGTGCTTCTTCTGCCAGCATGTCCTCCTTCTCGTGGAAAAAAACGACAGGCACTTCTCACTCGAACGCCGCACTGCGCGGACGCTCGCGCTCCAAGTCGCGATCCCAATACGCGGCTTCTGTTTCGCTTTGACATAGCTGCACCTTGCGCAACACATGGCCCGAATCCTTGTCCGCTCCAGACTGCCCGCTCCTTCGCCACTCCCGCCGCCGCCATGCCGCGTCGTTCCACCGCCATCCGCTGTGGCGGCCCACACTTTGCGCGTTTTGCACGATTTCTCGCCCGCGCTGTTCATTTCCGCCGTGCATTTCGCACAAAATGCTGGCCTCTCCGCCCATTGGATCTCAAACTTCGAAAACGACTCTACCAGCGGCCTGCGCCGGCACCGCTCGCGCTAGTCTCGCGGCATTAGCTCCGCCCCCACCCATCCCAATCCACGCCCTCCCCGCGGAACACCTGTCGGGGATTTTCGGACCCGGGTCAGTCCAGACCCGGGTCAGCAGGAAACCAAAAACTGCAATGCAGGAAAAGAACTGCAACGCAGGTCTTCGCAAACCCGGGTCAGCCAATATGTGCGGCCGCCTCGCGGCCACGAGCGGCTCGCTAACCCGGGTCAGCCAGAGGGGGTCTTCGCAGGATCCTGCAGGATCCGGTGCCGTGGCTGACCCCCGTTTGCACTGACCCCCGTCTCAAGGCTCCCGAACCTGCAACTGCATTTTCGCGCCGGCCGTCTCACCTTCGCTGTAAGGCTTCCTATCACAAGGCGCTGTAACAGCGCAGCTGCGCCAGAACGGCTTTGCGGCTCGCAGCGTTCAAACTTTGAAATCGGCACCCAAAACTGACTCGAAGCTCAGTGCCTCGAAAAGGACTACCTGAATCCTCCTCCCGCCTCCTGCGGGCCTCTTTGAACTCTCTTTCTTTGTGTTCTCCACCACTGGGCTGGTCGAGAAACTGGCGCGTGGATCCCAACGGGCCCTGCCGAGAAGGGCCTCGCGGCAGTTGCACTGCGCGCTCGAGAGTGAGATGAGAAATATACCAAAGAAGCTGACACGAAGCTTCTCGAAAGACGTCGAACGCTGTGACTATAAATAAGAAAGAAGCGGGTGTGCACCCATCTTTATCGCGAGCTTATCACCTCCCGCAGGCTACCGCGGGAAGATTGGGGCAATGTCGGGCCTCCCCTCCGACGAAGCGCCGCACAGCACCGAAGGCAAATACTATGATTTGTAATGCTCGCCTGCGGTGAAGAAAAATCACGCGAACACTCGAACGCCGTCCGTCGATGTGCGCTCCCGCCAACAGTTCGTCTGTAAAAAGGATCATCGGGCACACTGGGTAGTCGAACAACAATACTTACGCAGGACGGGGAAAGGAGTACCAGAGAGAGGAGGAAGGACGTGGAGGACAAGGCGGAGTGCCCATTCTACCTCTGCTTAGGTAGCGATATGCTGCCTGCTGTTGGCTTGCATCCAAGGAAGGCCACGAACTTAGCAAACTCACGGGAGAAGTTAGTGAGCATACTGCCCGTCTGGAACAGCGGCTCAGCTGGGATGCAAGAGCGGACTTTGGCCACATGTTGCCGATGGACAGCGACCAACAATTGCAACGTGCGATCGTAGAGGTCAGTGCCATGCTCTTCACTCGGTTGGGATGAGCAAATGATTACTGCATTCTGGCAAAGGGTCGACAACGCTTGCCCCCGAAGGAGTCCGCGAAGCTCAATCTGCTGAATTCCACCGCGATCCCCCCGCAAATAACGGTCGCAGCTGCTATGATGCTTGCGCTGCTCCGTAGTCAGATTCCAGCCGCGATCAGAACCACAAGCCATGAGTACCACACTTTTGGCATGGCGGGCCTCGTCTTTGTCTAGCATGAAAACTTCGCCCGCGGGTAACGCAAAATGCAATTCGCAGGGCATCCCAACAAACAAAACCGCACATCATGAGAGGCTGTGCCCCGCATAGGCCAGGGTCCAGCCCAAGCAAGAGGACGCGGCACTGGGACGCCTGCCTGGGTCGCCAGATCAGCGAAGACAGTTGAGGAGGCGACGCCCCTTGGATCTTGTATCAAATCCATGAACTCTTGCATATTCACCGACTGGAAACGGCGTGCAGGCATGTATCCGAGCCGTTCGACAACCTTGTGCACCGCGGCTGTTCCCGCTCGACCCTGGCCAACACTGAACAGGATATCCGTCGAACCACAGCCTGGTAGGCTGACGTGTTCATGCTGGGTTGCAAGCGCTGTTCTTTGTCCGTCCAAAGCTGGAAAATCCTGTAAGCTGGCAATTCAGAGTTCCGTCCCCAGTGCTTTCCAGAACCCACAACGCAACACATACAATCAAAACCAATAAGAAAATGGTAGCGCGCAGACGCCCACCCATCAGCCACGAGCACAGCAAAGGCCAACGCCAGGAGAAAATAAGACGGATATCGACCACTTTGGCCCCCATGTGCTGGAGCCAGAGAGGCTCGAGCAAAACAAATGGCTTGTGCGAAAATGGCCATGGAATCTTCGAAAACTGAATGGTGAAAACAATGTAGTCCACTCGTATTCTGAGGGCCTCAATGTGGCAAAGTGCGCTGTGGCGCAATACTGTTGCTGCTTGCTTGCGCGCGCGCACACGCGCGTGCGCGCGCATGCTCGCGCGCGAGCAATGAGGAGAACGTATTGCGCCGGAGTGCATTTTCCATGCTCGGGCCCTCAGAATACGTATGGAACAATTGGTTTTCACAATTCCGTTTTGCATTGCGCACGCGGGAGAGTGCACGCGCGTACGCGCGTGAACGGGTAATGGGGAACGTGTCACAATACATGATTCCAAGTTTGAGCCCTCAGAATGCAAGAGAAACAATGTGTTTGCACCAATCCGTTTTCGAGCTAAGGCGGCAATTCCATATTTGTTCTTGCATGGCGCACGCGGAAGCGCGCGCACGCGAGCGCACGAGCAACCAAGAAAGCGCACAGTGCCGCAATGCATGATTTCACGTTGAGGCCATCAGAATACAAGTGAAACGCCTGCTACTCACCTTTCAATTTAGATGCCCCGTCTTTACATAGTTGATTTTTCGTTGTGCACAAACAATACGGAACACGCGTGGCGTCACACTACATCATTAGTTCACGTCGGAGCCCTCAGAATCCTGACAGCAAAATCTTCCTCCCATCCGAACAATTTTTTCAACCTTTGAACCCGTATGTGCGCGGCGCTAAGGCGAGAACCACATTCCAGAAAGGACCGGCCCTCCATCCGTGAAGCTCTGTCGACTTTGTAGAACGAATGTGCGCGGCGCTCAAGCGAGAACCACATTCTGTAAAAGACCCACACTCCATCCGTGAAGCTCTTGCAAGCTTTGAAGGGCGAATGTGCGCGATGCTATTGCTATAGCCACATTCTGAAAAGGACCGGCCCTCCATCCGTGAAACTGTTGCAAACGTTTATGACGAATGTGCACGGCGCTGAAACGATAGCCACATTTTGAAATTCAGATGCCGGGGGTATCACTTCCAGGGGCCGAAGTGACAGGTTTGCGCCGGAAGGGGGCGGGATCGAGAATTGTTTCCCAAGGATATTTGATGCGTCTTGGATTTGAACTGGTTATCCTCCTTCTCCTCCCTATCCCACCATTACCCTGTGTTTTTTCTCTATGCTTGTTCTTCTCACGTTCTCTTCCTCTCTCTATCTCTCTCTTTCTATCTCTCTCTCTCTCTCTCACCCGAAGGTCTCAAGAGGCCTTCCGCGCCTCCAGGAGGTAGGCCTCCAGTAGACAATAATCCTCCCCCCAACACGTCAAAAGCTCGGTCAAGGATCCTTCATCCCTCCTTCTACTCCTCGCCAGTCATGACCACCCTTTCTCATTCACCCATCCTCCTCCTTCTCCTGCCTCAACATTATCCTTCTTCATCGATCCCCCTCGCTTCTCAAAAAGGCATCCGGAGCCTAATGGAAACGTGGCAAAGCATCAGGCACACATATATACACTCGATCCTCCTCCGTCTCCTCTTGGCGGCGAGCCAAGGGGTCGGGCGAGGGGTGGCGGTCACCTAAGAACCCAGAACCCCGACGCAATGATTTTTTCATGACGTCGGCCCCCCGAGGTCTGGACCCTTCCCCGGGACCGGTTCTTCGTCCTGAGTCGTGTTTTCACGGTCCCGAGGGCCGGTAAGGGCGCCCAGAGGCCGAAAGTAGCGAAAAACTCCCCGTCGTGATTTTTTCATTGCCCGAGGGGGTCTGGGAAGGCAGGGGGCTTCTTAGAAACGCGAATGGGCTCCTTAGAATGCTCCCTCAGACTCCGAAGGAGCCAGCCTCGCCCCACCGCTTTCTGCTCGCCACCGATCCGCCTCTTCCACCCCTGCGCCCTCACGTTGGTTCAGAGCCGGCCCCGGGATTTCTCCCCCGGACGCCTCGATTCGGGATCCCCGATGCTCCTCCTGCTCATCCTCCCCCTCCTCCTGCTCCCCCTCCTTCCTCCCAAACTCCAGCCAACCAGCTCGTACCCTCTCTCTGTCAAGCGCTACCGCTGCTTACGAAACTCGCCCTTCGGCTGGTGCATCCCGGTACTACGCGATCACATGTGACATCATATGGGGGAGGCCTTGGACCAACTATTATGGCACGTACGATCAGAGAGGTACCAAGTGGTCAGCCTACCATGGACGTCGATGGCAACACCACCTATACGAGATGGCGGATTTTAACAATGCGTCTGACGCTGTGCCGAACCGGTGTAATCTTACTCCGCTGCAGGGAGACATGCAACGGGGCGGCTTACAGTTGCTCGGCAGTGGTAGCTGCCAGACCTACCACGTGTGCGGCTACGTCGCTACCGACGAACAAGACACCGCGTCGACGGGACTTCCAGCAAGGCACTTCGTCCTCAGCACCGCTCGCATGACCAAGAAGTGCCCATGGGGCCTGTTGCTCACCATGCCTCTACGGCCGGGAACCTGTGCTTCACATGTCGCGGCGTCGGCCCTGGCGACTCGGTATGCCTTGCGAGTGGAAGGCGTGTTGATGGGCCTATTTTCCACCATCACCACCACCACCATAAGTTGGAGGGAAAAATGAGGTGGAGGACGAGGAGGAGGAGGAGGACGAAAAGGAGGAGGATGTGGAGGAGGAGGAGGAGGAGGAGGAGGAGGACACCCTCCCCATCCAACTTACGTATGGTGGTGGTGGTGGTGGAAAACGCACACACACACAGACACACACACACACACACACACACACACACACACACACACACACACACACACACACACACACACACACGCACGCGCGCGCGCACCCCACGTGTCGCTCCGCTCCGCGGGGCGGGTGCTTGGGAAAGGCTCGAGCTCAGCAGCCCCGATACGCAACACGCGACACGTAGCGTATTGAGACGGAGCTCAGCAAAGACTCTGAGAACGTAGGTCTGACGCGATACGTTCGCCAAAACGTGGGCCAATACGTTGAGTCAAAATGCAACGTATTGACACGGACGTTTTGAGCACGGTACGTGTTGCGTATCAAAACGTACGTCTCGAGCCAGCTAAGGGCTCGAGACGTTGGACTATGAGGACGGGGAGGTGGACGGCGCGTCGCGCTCAAGCGCGGCGGGCCATAACGCCAGAGACGGCGGTGCGACACAGGAGGAGGAAGGAGGCGGAGGACGAGGAGGCGTACGAGGAGGAGGAGGAGGAGGAGGAGGAGGAGGAGGAGGCGGACGAGGAGGAGGAGGAGGCGGACGAGGAGGAGGAGGAGGAGGAGGAGGAGGTGGCTCTCCAGAAGTTCCCGACCCTACTCCTCTTACTCCCCCGGTCCTGGGCAAGTCCCCGCCGCCCGCGGCGGAGGGGAGGGGAGGGGGGGGGCTGGGGGGAGAGCTGGGCGTCGCTTGATTGGGGGGGGCGAGCCATGGGAGGGCGAAGAGAGGTGCGCCTTTCGGGCCCCGAATGGGCCCCCCCTCTATGGGCTCCAGAGGGCCCCTCGATGGGGGCCCAGAAAGGGTCCCCTCTCTGCTGCCCTCGCTGCCCCCTCCCTTTCTTCTCCTCCTCTTCCTCCTCTATCTGCTTCTTCTCCCCTTTCTAGCCCTTCCCCCTGCTCCTGCTCGACATCCTCTTCCTCCTTCTCCCTCTCCTTCTCCTCCTCCTGCTCCTTCTCCTCCTCCTCCTCCTTCTCTTCCTCAGCCTCCTTCACCTCCTTCTCTCCCCCCGCACCACCAGCAAAAGAGAATACGCCAGAAACATAAACTGTTGGCGCTCTGGGCGGATTTTTTGGATCTGCGCTAGACCCCCCCTCCCTGGCGCGTGGAGCGCGCCGGGGGCGGCACCGGAGGCGCCGCCAGGGGGCCCAGCGCGGATCCAAGAAACCCGCGCGGAGCGCCAAAATTTTCTGTTCATGACTTTTTTTCTTCTCCGAACCACGCGACGCCCAGCACGGCGCCTGCACATTCTTGTCCGGGATCGCCCGTCGCAGAACGGCGCCAAACACGCTCAGCAGCCTCCCGGGATCCTGGCCGTCGTAGGCGCCCGCGGCGAGCTCCAAGGACAGCCTCGGGCTTCGGGATGGGGGGCTCCTGCGTCCCCCCTTGCGTCGACGAGACACTGCCGAAGGAACGGAAGGGTATGATGGCAAGGGGCAGGGTAGAGAATCAGCTCGTGCAGATGGCTTTCGTGGCGCCCCCTTACGCTGGGAGACGCCCGCGTATCGCGTCTCGAGGGATGGGACCGGCGGCGGGGCGGACACCGACTGGAGGCAGCAGATTTCGCACCCCCCCCCTTTCCCTATCCAGCCCTTTCGTCCGGCCCGATGTTGGGCCTTCTCGGAGGCGTTCGTTTTGTACCAAGACG